GTGTGTGTGTGTATTTGTGTGTGAGTGCACCGTCAAATCAGATCTGACTGGTACAGGAGGAGATTGTCCCTTCTTTCCCGGCAGAGCATCTGGTGGATTCGAACCGTAAGCCTCTGGGATTGTAGTTGCAGCTCCTTGCTACTAGACCACCAGAGCTCCCCTAGTATTAACCTTTTTATATGAAAATTTTACTTGTAGCTAAGTTTTGAGTGGCATCCACTTCCTAAATAACATGCCTCCGGAAACTGAGCTTTGATAAATGTCGATAGTCGATAGTCGTAGAGGGACTTCAGTTCTTTTGTTCATAAGGTTGCTAAGAGTCATGCTTGACTTGAAGGCTATCAACAACAACAAAGCTGAAAAGAAACAAGACATTATATAATAGCATTTTGGGTTGCACATAAAGATAATTCAAAACAGAAGAGATAAATAAAAGGAAAGTAATTACAAACAATTCATCCTTAAGGCTCAATTTTTAAATATTCTCCCCTTCAAATCTGTAAAATATAAAAATGAGTGTGGCAAGGTCAGCATTTTTTAACATTCAAATATGATTGATTGATTGATTGATTGCCTGCATCCCTTTTGGCTAATAGTACTGAACAACAATAAGGAAAAACATTGGAGAAATTCTTCAAAAGAAAACCAAAATTAACCGGTGAACTTTAAAGCAAGCCTATGTTTCCCCTTTATAGTATCTTAAAAAAGAACAGACCTTTTATAGAATTTCAAAACTAATTCATCTGTACTCAGAAACTATCACATTTTTTCCACCTTACGCTGCTGAAATAAAGCGGTCCATTTTTCTACAAAGTCCATTTTGTTTCCCAACGCGATAAAATGCAACTTTGGATCTATATACACCATGAAATACAACTTTGGATCTCTGATAGGATTCATCCAGCACCAAGAAAGATGGGATTCTACAAGGAGGCTCAGTGTGTGAGCCTCCGAAATACTTTTGAAAAGCTACCCATTTTCTCCACCAGCTATACTAGATCCCCTCTCCTTGGCCAGATCCCCAGAAACTTGGCCGCGTTCTGTAACACACCCTTCCAGATTTTCAAGAAGAGATTCTCCTCCCTCTTGTGGAACCAGCCCTGACATCACATTAGAGAACATCCTTGGGAACCCTCCAGCCCACAAAGAAAATGCTTCTGGGGAAAGAATTGCTGAAAACACACTTCCCCCTAGAGGTAGGAAAGATGAAAGGATATTTCACATCATTTGAGAACATTGCGAGAGTTGCTTTTCAATGTGCAGTGGATGTTTTGGAAGCACATATTGGAGGCAGAGGGAAGGAGAAGAGAAGAGAAGAGAAGAGAAGAGAAGAGAAGAGAAGAGAAGAGAAGAGAAGAGAAGAGAAGAGAAGAGAAGAGTGAAGAGAAAGCTGTGAGCTGTGTTTTCAGATTTTAGCTTCTCCATACTAAAATCTCTTTTCCTTGCCCTTTTTTTTCTACTACAAAAATTTAGAAACTTTTGCCAGCACTAAGAATAAAATTAATTCTATATCGTGTCATTAGAATGTTATATGACAGGCAAGCATTTTATGAAAAAAAGTAGATTAAAGATATTTCCCAACTGTGAAAATAACCAATAGATTCAGTGTTGTCCCTGCCCATGACACTTCAGTCTTGACCCACCCCCTTCCCTGCTCCACCAAGCATTCCCTTG